TCTTCATATGTTGTTGAGGGGCCAAAGAAAGACTTCAGACTAAAAAATCCAACATTCTTCCTATTTATCTTGGATCAGGCTTTAAAGGGTTAAATAATCATCATTTATTACCTTGCTATAAGTCAAAATTATTGTGGTGTAGTTTTCTGCCGGCTGTAATCCGGTGTAATCTGATTGTGGACGAAAGGTTTTGAGCAAAGTTTTTACCATTAAACGAAGTGAAAGATTACAGAAACCGAATGTGTCGAACATGATACATATGGCATTATAGAAGGGGTGTCAAAATCCAGTCCTCGAGGGCTGCGGTCCTGCAGGTTTTAGAGGTAACCCCTTTTTCAACGCACCTGATTCACATCAAAGGGCCGTTAGACAGGTGCAAAGCTCAACAATGTCCAGAGGAGATCCAATTGAATAAGAATCAGGTGTGCAGAAGCAGGAAAATGTCTAAAACCTGCAGGACAGCGGCCCTCGAGGACTGGATTTTGACCCCCATGCATTATAGGGTTAACCAGAGGCGGGGGGGTCTTACCTTTGGCCTCTCAGTCTCTTACTGTTAGAATGTACATATGATTAAAGTTATAGATCGTTGCATTCTTTGTAAGTTGGCAAACCTGCAAAATCATCAAGGGGTCAAATACTTATTTACCCCACTGTAACCCTTTTTCAACACACCTGATTCACATCAAAGGGCCATTAGTAGACAAGTGCAAAGCTCAACAATGTCCAGAGGAGATCCAATTGAATAAGAATCAGGTGTGCAGAAGCAGGAAAATGTCTAAAACCTGCAGGACGGTGGCTCTCGAGGACCGGATTTTGACACTAGGGTTGTCACGATACTAAAATTTTCAACTCGATACCGATACTCAGGAAAATACTCGATACTCGATACCATTTTCGATACATCAAGGATAAAAACAAAGACCCCAAAATTTAACTGAATTTTGACAGGTTTGTGTCTTTCATTTCAAACTGACCTGTTACTCATGTTATTGTGACTGGTGGCCTGCATTAATAACCCTAATCCTAACCCTAACCCTGACCCTACAGCTTTCATAATTGTGAGAAATAAATATTTTTTGGTTAAACTTGTTTGGAGTTATTCTAAAAACATATTTAACATTACACTATTTTAACATGATATTATGGATAGAGTTTAATTAAGTGTTCGAAAGATTAATTTCACCATTTTTAAATGAATGTCTATATTGCCATGAGGCATTACCATTTTCTTGCCTGGGAACTCCCTATTGGTGACTTGG